CCTTCTGCTCAGCCCTGAAATTGCCTCCTCGAATTTTTCTGAAAGTACCTGTTTAGCTTTAAGTTATTGACAAAGGGTATCTCTGTAAGTCTCAGTTGTTAACTCATAATCAAATTGAGCAATATGCTACTTTTCTTTTAGTTTTTCTGAGGTCTTACTTTTTTAAAAAGTGTTTTATTTTTAAATTGATTTTAGAAGGGGAGGGGGGGGGGACAGAGAAATACACAGATCTGTTGCTTCCCATATGAATTCTGATCAGGGATTGAACCTGCAATCTAGGTATTACCTTATCTTATCAACAAAAAGGTTAAGTCTCACTTTATTGTGATGGTCAGGAACTCCCAAATTCTCTGAGGTATGTTTGTCCTTGTTATTACTACATAAGCTAGTTCACGGTTCATTTTAATTCATAACTATTATCTTGTAGACACCCTCTCTTACTTTTCCCTACTATACATACTATTTATCTATTCTGTACCACTCAGCTTTCCTACATTTATCTTTTTCTAATCCTTTGGCTTATTATGGTATTACTGTGGCTCTGAATCACTGATCTTTGCAAGGGACCATCAGATAAATCCTGAAGGAAACCAAACTAGGGGATATATTCACATCCAGGAACGTAGTTCAAGACATAAGGCTTAGAATTTAAGATAAAATAAGGTATTCTAGGAAAGGTGGGAAGTGTTTTTGAGAAAGGTATGGAGAAGAGGCTAAGACCAGAGAATATGAATCCTGGTTCTGCTCTCTTAGCTCTGTGGACCTAGTAAGTTCCTAAGTAAAGCTTCCTGGCCCTCAGTTTTTTCATGTGAAAAGCAGAGGTGATAACAGTACTTGCACCATAGATTATCAATTTTGAGATAACAACATGTGTGAAAATCTTAAGAACAGTGTCTGATACATTGTAAACGCTCAGTAAATATTAACTATTGAAATTATTATAAACAGATAAGTGGTTGATAGCAGGCAGGAAGGTAGGGCAAGCATTTAACTTTAGAGAAACAATCATTGAATGTTAATTTCATTACTTCTGTATTTTTTCATAAGCTTTAAGGAAGTCCTAATTCTAGACTGAAACACCTTTTTTCTGCCTATAAAATTTCCCAGTCTTGGTGAGATTTTTCTTTTTTCTTTTTAAACAGCATCAGTTCAAAATATTTGAAGGCAACAACAGCAAAGCTACAGTAAAACTAATAGCCTTACAGTAGACCAGTGGTCAGCAAACTCATTAGTTAAGAGCAAAATTCAACAGTGCGATTTTGAATTTCTTTTGAGAGCCAAATTTTCTAAACTTAAACTTCTTTTTAACGCCACTTCTTCAAAATAGACTCTCCCAGGCCGTGGTATTTTGTGGAAGAGTCACACTCCAGGGGCCAAAGAGCAGCATGTGGCTCGTGAGCCATAGTTTGCTGACCACCGCGGTAGACTATTTTTGTACTTATTATCTACAAAATAGCCATGTTTCCAATTTGTATAACCTAAACTAAATATTTGTTATTCACTTTCCTGCTGGTATAATTGGAAGTAAGGATGGGGAATAAAAAGGCAGGCAGGATTTAAAGCTTTGCCTCACCAGCATTTTCAAGACCACTGACTGACAAAGGTCTTTCATAATAATGGTTTGGACAGAGGCAACATACTGTGTGTTTGCTTTTAACATTCTTTACTCCCCTCCATGATACCCAGAGACCCCAGGCTCTCTCTTAATTCTGAGCTCTTGGGATATAAAAACCCATGTTCAGGTTTGAAATTACAAATTGATTGCCTGTTGGCCACATTTGCCCCAAGATATTTTTAGTTTGGCCTTCAATGTAAAAATCAAGAGAGTTCACACAAAAACCCAGCTTTAGGGTTTCTCTTAAGAGGAAAAAAACACCAAAAATAGAGAATATCTCCGAACACAAGACCCACATTCCTGAGGGCAACATTCTGCTAGTGCTGAACAGCTGCTCCCTTCTGTTACAGCACGGACACTCCAACGTGCACCATGACTTCTCTCTCCCCATTGTCTCCCACCCGACCAAGTTCACTCGGTGGTTGTACTTGCTCACCCCTGCAGACCTCTGTCTGCAAACTCTAGTAGCTGGACCTTTCCTGCCTCCCACCAAAGCTTCCTTCTATCCCTCATCAGTTTTTCCAACCAAATAGCTAGGCGATCTGACCCGTTGTAGGTATTTCTACATGTGCGTTCTGGAGGTAGCATCCTAATGGAAAGAGATGGCTGTGCCGGTGGAAATTACAGGCACCACCCGGGATCACAATCTGGATGGCAACTGTCCCTTTTACTTTTTTCCTGCTATCCTGTTCCCAGGCGAACCAAAGGAGCTGGTTTTCTGCAGAACAATAACCACCGAGCTTACATCACCGTCCAAAGGACCCAAAGCTATTAAGGGGTACTCTGCCCCTTTTCTTCGGAAGCTTCAGGATGTCCGACCTGAAAGAATCTCCCGTCACCTGATTTCGGGGCCCGTTTAGCGCCAGGCAGCAGTGCCCCGGGAGCGCGCTCATCCAAGCATGAGCTCATTTCTCAGGGGCGTGTCCCCCCCCCCCCCAAGCTCCGCCCGGTTTCCGTCTAATCAATGGCCCCCGCGGCGGAGGGAAGGCGGGGCGGGGCGCGGCCGCCCAGGGGCGCTGCTGCCTTTCTGAAAGCTTTGTTCCCACATTATCGTCCGAGGACTCGCTCCCGGCCGGGGAGGCATCTGGCACGGATCTGGACTTTTCAGGGAAGACACTGGCACTCGGACGCACTATCCCAGGCGGAGGCAAGTCTGGAGCGCGCAGGATTGGCCGCGCCCAGCCCGAGGCCTCCAGCGAGTGGGGAGGGGCCCTAAACCCTCGGCTCGCCGGAGCGCTCCGAGCCCAGCCCCGCCGACCGCAGCAGCAGTTTCGGACAGGCCGTGCGGAGAGCCCGCACTCCCTATGTGTGGGTTTCCATAAGGTGTGGGAGCAGCCGCAGGCGAGCCCGTCACTCCGTCCGCCACCGCCCCAAGTCTAGCTGCAGCCGCAGGCGAGCCCGTCTCACGGTCCGCCGCGGCCCCAGCCGAGCTGCTCTGGACTCCGGGGACCGCCGCCGCCGCCGCCGCCGGAGGCTGAGGGCCAATCACAGTGCAGCTAGGTCTTGCGATTGGACGACAGTGAGTGCCGATTGGCTGCCGTAGCGGTTTCGGCCTCCCTCCCCTTTCCCTTTAGCCCCAACTCTAGCTCCAAAGCTCCCAGCCAATGAGAAGGCACGTTATAGACGCCCTCCCATTGCTTTCTTCTTTGCCCCGCCTTGGCAAGGAAGGAGGCGTTCTGACTGGCTAGACTGTCCTCGGAAGGCCCCCTTCCATGCACCAATCAGCGAGGGAGGCACACTCCCAGCGGAGTTTCTGGCCAATGACAAGGCGGCCACGGGCCCCAGCCGTGCTGTTTCACCCAGAACCCCGGGTTTCACCGTTCTTAACTCTTCAAGCGTTTTTTTTTTTTTTTTTTTTCTTGAGGACTCTGATTGGCCACGGTGGTCATTATCGAATTTCTCCTCGGAACAAGGCGAACCCACCTTCTTCTCGCTCGGGTGTCTTCGGTATTCTTCGCTCTCTGGGCGTGGCTTTCCGAGCGACAGATTCTCATTGGTTCCTTAGGTCTCTCGGCTTTTTCCGGGAGAAGCAGCTGAAAAACGACGCCCGTGATTGGCTCCGCTCGGGCTTCGGCTCCGCGACCGAAGCGGGCGGGCGCGGGGCTCGGCCGGCGATTCCCAGACGCCTGTTACGCTGGGCGTCGGGCGCGCTGGGCGGTGTAAGCCTGGGCGGGGGAGGAAGGAGGCGGAGGACGAGGTGGACGGGGGAGGGGTAGCGGGGAAGAGCTCAGGCGGCTGCGCAGACGGCGCTCCTCACACAGAGCAGCCCCTGACCCGGGCGAATGCGGGCTTGTGTTGCCGCCGCCGCCGCCGCCGCCCGGGCCGAGTGACAAAGGAAGGAAGGCCGGAAGGAAGGAAGGAAGGACGCCAGGAGGAGCCGGCCCCACAGCCGCTGTGACAGGCGCTCCGGACTGGGAGCCCAGCGCGGACACTTCCTGAGCGCAGGCACCGAGCACACAGGCGAGGGGCGGGAGGGCGGCCGCGCTGGTGCCGCGGACGGGGGAGGGGGCCCCGAGGGACAGAAGCGGTTGCTGGGCTCCCATGTCCCCGGCGTATGGGGAGCAGCCGAGGAGCCGCTGCCTGGGGTCTGAAGGGAGCTGCCTCCGCCGCCACCGCCGCCGCCATGGCCGCTGGATCCAGCCGCCGCCGCCCGCAGCTGCTCCTGGCGCAATGAGGAGAGGAGCCGCCGCCGCCGCCGCCGCCGCCCGCCTCTGACCGGCCGACCGACCGACCGACTCGCCGCTCCGCTGCCCTCCAGGTCACCGGGCCCCGCCCGCCCGCCGGATCCCGCCGCTGCCCGAGCCGCAGCGGCTCCCGTCGCATCTCCGATCCACCCTGTCCCTCTCCCTCCCTCCTTCCCATCCCCCTTCTTTTCAAGCGTGAGACTCGTGATCCTTCCGCCGCTTCCCTTCTTCATTGACTCGGAAAAAAAAAAATCCCCGAGGAAAAAAAAATAGAATCTTCAAAGTACTTATTTTCAATCAAGTATTTGTCCCCGTCTCCCGTGATATACATATTATATATATATATTTTTAGGACCCTCCTCACCTCCCTCCCCCCCCTTTCCTTTTCTCCCCTCCAAGGAAAGGGAGGGGAATGAATTGTATTTTTCGTCCCTTAGTCCCAAATCATCTATGTTAAATATCCATACGGATCTGTCTTGAAGGAGAAATACATCGCTCGTTGTTTTTTTTGTTTTGTTTTTTTTTTAAATAGCTATACAAAAGGAGTGGAAAAGAACACACAAGAGAACGAAGCCTTTTTTTTTTTTTTTTCTCTTGTGGGAGAACTTAATGCTGCATTGGTCATTACCCTAACATCCCACCCTACAACAAAAGGAAGAAGAGGAGGAAGGAGAAGAAGGTGATTCAGGAAGAGAGCGATCATGTCAGGGCGGCCGAGAACCACCTCCTTTGCGGAGAGCTGCAAGCCGGTGCAGCAGCCGTCGGCGTTTGGCAGCATGAAAGTTAGCAGTAAGTATTGATTTTCTTTTACACCTTTCTCCTTCTCCACTTCATCCTTAAAATAGGAACCGTGGGGCTGCCAGGGTCTTCAAGTCTTAGACCTCCCGATACAGCAGTCGGATGTAATGGAAAGGAGGCAAAAAAAAAAAAAAAAAAAAAAAATCAAAAAACGTGTCTTCAAGGATGAAGCGGCTCCCTCTTTTCTCCTCCCATACCCTCTCCCCCGGTCTCATTAACCTTGAATTGAGAGAAGATGATTTTTTTTGTTTATTTGGATGATTTGATTTGAAACTCATTTTCTTACACTTTCCTAGCTGTTGATAGTCAGCTGTATCCAGTGCTGGAGTATTCCCGCGTTAAAATAGCGATAGTAAAGTGTTTACTCGCCCATCCTTGTGGATAAAGAGGACAAGACTTGATTCATAAAACATGATGTATGTTGCTCATTTTGATGTCTTTTGGAATGAGGGGTATTTCGGTTAGATCAGGTCTCAGGGGTTTCCACCGTTTTTGTATACTTAATAGAGAGACCGAGTGTTACAGTTGCCTAACATTTCTTTCCTGTTTGTGTGACGATACAAAGTATTTGTTCTAAATCCTGAGATGAACTTGGTCAGTAACCGGTCTTCTCATTGTTGAGGCGAGCATTGATTCCTTCCTTTGCGGGGGGCCAGTGGGAACTGCTGATACTCAGTAGCAGTATCTCTATTTGCGTTGTTTTAAATTGGATAAGTGGTTTAATATGTTATCTTTGATCCTTCCCATTTTGACATTACCTGTCTACTGCTGTATAATTTATTGTTTAGTCAAAAGGTAATTTGGGAGTAGGTCCAATTTTTGATTGAGGTTTGCATTGTCATGTTGCCAAATACTAAGTTGAATGTTAATTGTTACTGACTTGACATTTAAGTTCAATTTTAGGTGCCATTGCATTTGTACTTGTTAAATGATCTAGAGGTCAGGGGTCCCCTTAGGATTATTTAAAATGCTCTTGCATTGGTTTTCTGTCACATTTAGATAAAACTATGGATTTAGTTTTGAGAATATGGATTTAGAGCTTTCCATCATAGGTTTTGCAGAACGCTGTGGTCCTGCATATAACAGGGATATTTGGGCTGTGCTCAGGGTTGTTGCTAGAGTATACTCTTGTCCCAGATTTGTGCTGGAAGCCTGTGTTTTTGAGGTGTTTGGTATACTAAGTACCCAGTGTTCTGATGTACTAGTATCTCTACTTGTGGATCTGTTTATGTGCTATTTAATGACAGCGTATGTAAAAATATTTCCAGAATTTGGCAAAAATTATAGTTTCTTATTCCACGAGGGCAAAGAAAACTATTTTGTTGCCTAGAAGAAGGAAAGAACTGAAGAATTGAGTTTTTATTTTTTTTAGAAGCATATGCTGTTATGTGAAATTGATTATATCCTTAAGCAACATAAAATTATTTTTGTTGAATTCAGGATTTCAATTCATGTTGGCTTTTGAAACTTACCTGAAACAGGGTAGCCGAAGGTAGTAGCTAAATGGAAGGTTATTTTTTAAAGTTAATTTGGGGTGGGGGTTGTGGGGTGTTGACTAGCTATTGTAGAATGCAGGGTATGTGAAAAGGGAAGCTGATGATGCATCTTCAGGGAAGGGTCAAGCTTTCTAAGCACTTCTTGGGGTCATTTGAAAGGAATATTTAAAAATTCTAAGGTAATTTTCAGCTATGATGAAGCAAATCTTATAATAGCTACTTAAGAACTTCTTGTGCTACTGGGGTGTTTTTTCCCCCAGCTTTTAATATAGTTTAAAAACCGCTCAAAACCAATTTCAGGTATTAAATCTATTTCACAAAGCAAAATAGAATAGCTTATAATGTTAAAATTTTGGACTTTTCATTTTTATCCCCAAGATTTCCTTTGAAAATGACTTAATTCTTGATAATGTGGATGTTGACTGATGAGGTAATTCTTGTACAGTATAGGTTAAAATGTTTAGTTTTCTGCTATTATATAGATCAACATTTAAAAAGTTGGAGTTCAATGCTAATTGTTTTTGACAACCTTGACTTTAAGGACATTTTTAGAAGAAAGAGAAATCATTAAATATTAGAACGCTGGTGTTCAAGAAACCATGTTAAGAAGAGAGATACATAAGAAAATGCAATCCTTGTCCTCAAAAGCTTATCATTTAGTAGTAGAGGCAGATTATGGGTCAAAATATGAAGACAATACCAAGATGACTGTGAGATTGCAAATACAAATAGAATGCTTTGTTCAGAGGGACAGAGAATAAAGGGGTGAGGCAGATGTGTCAGAGAGGGAAGACTTCTGCAGAAGGGTGTTTTAAGACAGGTGGTAAAGGAAGCAATAACCTCAATTGATACAGAAGCATAAAGGATTCTCGACAGAAAGATTGGACAGAGGCATAGAGATGGTGGTTTTTGTAAATGATTTTTGTATTTACTAAGCTAGTTAGTAAATCTGAATTAAAGTAGTCTAAATAAGAAAATGAGAGGTGGAATCTGGAAAATATGTTAATAGCTGATGGAGGGTAGAGGGGGCCTGTAAGAGTTTGGTTGAGATTAAAGAGATATTGGAATTTACTTTAGATGGCTGAACCAAGATATTGGAAGATGATTTGGGCAGCTGAGTTGATGGATTAGAGTAGTCATCAGAGCCCTTTTGGGGATACCAATATGGGTGCGTTGTGAATCCTGAGGGAGTATAAAATAACATGTGAAAATGGGATGAAAAGAGCACTTTTAAGAGAACAGTGTGAATGAACTGGCAGGACTTTGTATTGGATTGAAGGGGAATATTTGGGAAGGAGTCAGGAGTTAAAAATAAATTCTGATGTTACTGGTCTGGAAGAGTTGACTGCGAGTTAAATTGTTGGTTGTAATGGGAAAGTTGAGAAAGTTCTGAGATGAGAGGGTAGATGAGTTCACTTTTAAAAAATTTAGTATACAATAGGTTCCCTTGAAATTCAGCAGACACAATTGGTTACTGGCAATGATATTTAACTTATCAGCCTATTAATTGCAGTTTCTAATTTTTCTGCACTTAAAAATGTCGATTTTTAAAAATATATATATTTTATTGATTTTTTTACATAGAGGAAGGGAGAGAGATAGAGAGCTAGAAACGTCGATGAGAGAGAAACATCCACCAGTTGCCTCCTGCACACCCCTACTGGGGATGTGCTTGCAACCAATGTACATGCCCTTGGCCGGAATCGAACCTGGGACCTTTCAGTCCACAGGCCTACACTCTACCACTGAGCCAAACCGGCTTTGGCAAAAATGTTGAAAGTACTAAGTAAACCAAGCGTTTTCATTTAAATACTTTTCATTAAATTTCTAAAAATAATTTTTAAAATGTAGATTTAAGAGCTTGCACTTGAAAAACCTAGTCATAATAGTTCCATGGTTATTTATTTGAAAACAATGAAAATACTTTTGGCACTAAACTGATTTTAAAATTTCAGGTATTTTATATAGCCTTTAACCTTTGGTACAACTTAAAAACTTTTTATAAATATGATCATTTTCAGGTAAACCTCACATTTAAAACAGTGGTAATAATAATAGCAGCCTTCACTTGGTTTGTGAAGGATCCAGCAGACTTTAAAAGTTGTTTTTGACTTTTTTGTTGAGCTAAGCACTCATTGCAAGTTTAAATCGGTATTTTAGAAACATTTTATTTACTATGGTGAAGCCAACATTTCTTTTGTTTACGTCCAGATTCAAATGTTATTAAATAAATGTTAATATACAGTTCCTATTGTAGAATCACTGGATACTATACTCAAAATAGAAAAAATAAGGACCTATGGTGATTTTCGTTAAAATATTAATAATAAATCTCTGGTATACTATTGGTGAAAATTTAGCTAGTTGCCTAGGTTTGGAAAGAGGGAAATAAGTTGAGTATTATTTCCTCATATAAAAAGTTTTTTAGAGTAAAGTTGTTTTTAGTAATGAGAGAATGATTAATAGTATTTGTGTATTTAAGCATGGTGATTAAAACCAAAGAGTAGGTGGCAACTTAGAGATCCTGTATTCCTAAGGGAGGATATCTCTTTGTGACACCCAAAAGTTAGGTTATTAGAATTTAGGGAATTTTTAGATTATCAATGTTGATGTTGGAAAAGAGCTCATGTGAGACTGAAAACTAGAACCTTATTTTCATTTCTTTCCCAATCAAATCTTTCCAGAGTTCTTAAAACACCAAGATCTTCATATGAGAATTTCATATTATCATGTTGCATGCACTGGTAGAAACGGCGATTGTGAAAGGAGGCACAGGTATCGGTACTGGGGGAAAACTTGAAGGGAATACAGAGATTTCCAAATCAATTTATGGCTGATTGGGAATTGCATTTAGAAAATGAGGTGACATCTTCTCATTTCACTGGCATGGTTCAACTGAAAGTTAGTACTTGCATCCTTTGTTGTTTGCCCCGTTTTGAACTTGAGTTGCAGGTATGAGATGCTGGTTTGGAGAAGTTTGCAGTTGTTTGAAGTGTCGGCAAATTCTTGGGCTGTGGGAGCTCTGTTTTCCCATGTGCTTAATGTACAGAGAAGGCTGTGAAACATGCATGTGCTGATACTGTTGCCACAGTTCCATACTTTTTAAAGATGAATTTGTTAGAGTGCTAGTGTGTTTATTTTTAATAAGACTCATAAGACTGTGAGACAGCAATGGGGATGGGCAGGCTGTGAGATTGTAGTATCTCTTATGCTCCACCCTACAATGGAGAATGGAGGGGCAGAGCACGTGGGTGTGACAGGAGTAGATGCTAGTACTAACAGGACCAACCTGATTTCCTGGATATTGTACTACCAAGAACATAATCACTATGAATAAATGAATTTGTGTAATGTTTAGCATTTTTTTAGGGGGTTTGTGCAAAGGGAATCTTTCATGATTTCAAGTATGGAGTATTTTCATGGTTCATTGATTTTATAAAAGAAGTTGCAGTCTTTGTTCCTATCTCGGGTCATACAAATCTTTCTTGATTATAT